CCCCCCCCCCCCCCCCCCCCCCCCCCGGTGAACTGAAGTGGTGTTGAAATGCACGCACCGGCTATGAGTAACAGTTTACAAATTGATTGGGTGGTGCAGAAGCCAAGCAGTGTGATTCCATGCTTGTTACCTTTAGTCATTCATTTGTGTTGTCATCATGTCTCCTGGCTGATGCTGTTATTTTGTCCATCGTCCCTAAAGTTACGTACCTGTGGATGTGATGGCACTTTGTGTTTGGAACACATTATTGAGCGTGAATCTGAGTCTTTCATATGGAACAAATACAAATAATATTGCTTGTAATGTTTTCAGAAAATACGTATTAACCCCCAAAACATTTTTTGGCATGTAGTCTTTCTATTCCCTTATTTGCAAAAAATAAAAAATATGTTGAGAGAGGTTTTTTTCAAACTTTATATCATTCAATATTGCCAAACCCAAATTATTTAGCACATTAATCAATTATTCCAATCTCTATGTTGCAGTCAATGCGCCATGGCTGTGTGCACGGTGGGCAGCAGTCACAACATCTGAATTAGCTTTGTCCTTCTCATGCGCAAATTATGCATCTGAATTCTTTTTTTAATTCACTGTCACAAAATGATAAAACAAAATTATTTGAAGCACATCTTAACTGTCAGAGTTACTATCATTAACCTCTAATATGAAATAAAAGTACTGTCCTGGAAGATAATATTGAATCCTTAGAGTGGCACCGCTCACACGTTTGTAGTTGGGTCGGTCCACCACTTCTGTCCAGACTGAAATATCTCGACAATGTATTAGATGGACTGCCAAAAAAGTTCCAGACAATCAATCAATAACTTTGGTGATCCTCTAACTTTTCATCTAGCACTATCATCAGGTCAACATTTTAATGTGTCAAATATTTTGGTTTGAGAGCAAAACCTAATGACATTCCCATCAGCCTCAGCTTTACTTTGAGTTTAGTGCTAATTAGCAAATGTTAGCATGCTAACATGCTAAAGCCAGGTGGTTAGTGTTGTCGTTGTGAGCATGTTAGCGTACTGATTAGCATTCATTAAGTACATCTTTAAATTATGGCGTTAACAAACTGTAAATGTTAAAGCAAGAAAATAGTATGTTGTGAGATGGCATACAATAGGTAGGCACAACAATAACAATAATAATAATTTTAAAAATTGCAATTTGAGATTTAAAGACACAATAAGGAAACATAATAGTTACTGTGTAGTGTTTCAGCTCTTTTCTGTTTCCACAGGTAAAGACGTCATCGCATGGATCACCACCAAGATGAAGACCACTCCAGAAGGTACAACACTGTAAAAATCATAGATTGATTGCTAAAACATTGCATCTCCACGCGTCAGTTATTTTAAAAGGGAACATATTCACGTTATTTACCTGTCTGTGTTCCAGAGGTTCAGGCCATTGGCACCATGTTAGTGGCCTACGGCTACATCTACCCCCTGCAGAACCACAAGAAGCTGGTGATGTGCAACGACACCAGCCTCTACCGCTTCCAGGTCAAAATAAATCTTTGTTTCTTCTTTGCTACCCATTGTTGGAATTATTGTTGCACTTTAACATCACAGGGAAACAAGATTTGGAGAGTTATTTTCTTAACAAAATACAAAGACTCGCTGATTGTGTTAAAACAACAGCATGCCAAAAGCACCAGTTCCCGCATGGCTCTCTACCTGCTGATTTTTGATGTGAACATAGTGAGCTGTTAAGAAGATAGTGAACTAGGAGGATATTTTGGAGCACTTTGACAGTCTATAATAAAATCAGGGTGTATGTAATGTGTTTCCTGTTGAAACAGTATGTTGGGACAGAAAATAATCCTAAATAAGTTGCTAAGAAGAAGCATGATTCAAATGTTTCAATCAACGCGATGTCAGTTATTGAGAAGAACGGCCTATTCAAAATGTCTGCTCTTTATTTATTCATTTTTTTAGAGTAGATTTTGATTTTAAAATGATTGATAACTCAGATTTCATGGCAATTATTTGTGAGTAATACTTTGTAGACAGATCAATGTCTACATCTAAAAAGTGATGACTGTGCTTTAGTCAAACCACAGCAGGAGGCAGGAAATTAGCATTATAACTTTATATCCCATCTATCAGGTGCAGACGGTCCTGAACACGTTATTAGCAGAGAGAGAAGTTTTAATTGATCTATGATTTTTCATGGAACTGTGTGAACTTTTCAACGTGGCATCCCTCAACACGGCTGTTGATTTACCATGGAAACAATGCAGAATAATTGATTGAAAGACACATGAGAACAGAACTTTCTGTGGCTAATTTCAGTGGTGGAATAAGTAAAAGTCCTGAATTAAAAATGTTACTTAAAGCTACAGCCCATTTCAGAATAATTCCGAAATGGGCGATTCTGCATATTGAGTAGTATTATTGGATTCTAAATTGTAATGCATTATGTAAGTATCACTTGGCAAAGTCGATTTAAAGATTTTGGTATAATAATAATAATAAAGTTACTAAAGCTGTCAGACGAATGTATGAGTGAAAAGTACAATATTAAATAAAGTAGCTTGAAATACAAATACTCAAGTACAAGTACAAGTACAAGTACCTTCAAGTACTGGCTGGCATTTATACCATAATCGGAATAAAACTTTCTTGTATAATCATGTCAGCTGGTAGAAATCCGGAGAATAAAAGTGGAAATGGAATACATTTGAAATGTGTGCAAGCAACAACATATCTGAGTGCAAGCGTTAGAGCAGAAATCCAAGCGCAAGCTGGGGCCATTTGACCTCCTCCACTCTAGTGTTGACCACCGGAGACCCCAGGGCTGTGAGAACAGCCACCTTCGGTTCACGCTGTATAACCACAACTGCTACCCCAAACTTGAAGAGAACTCTAAATGAAGTTTGCAGATGACACTACGGCAACACAGGGATGCACAACAGAATGCAGTTATAGCCCCTTCGCTACGCAAGTAAAAACATGACAAAGCGGGCAAAATGGCCAACATCTTTACATTCAAAAATTCAACATCAGGGAAACAAATCAACTTTGACAAACGATGAGCCAGGTCCCCCTGCTCCTAGGTTAGCCTGAATTAACCTGCGACCCGACATTAGCCAGGAGCAGACTGGGTGGTGGAATAGCCATAGGTCCTAGCTGGGTTAGCTTAGCTTCCATCTCGAGTCTCCGCCCCCTCAACTCCGTTTTCAGTAGTGTTTGGTCCGGCAGGTCTTGCTGGGTGGTTGGCCTGTGGAAGGTAATCGTCTCAAGGTCCGTTCCCCGCGAATAAATCCAGTAGTAAAGACAAAAATACACCAAATTAAGACAAAAATTGCAAAATTCATCAGAACTACCGGCCACAGCATTTACATGCACCACCGTTGCCAAGTTCTTGTTAACCTTTATAGAGGAGCAATAGAAAGCATCCTGACTGGAAAGATTACAAACTGGGATGGGATGGGCACGGCACACGATAGGAGGGCTCTACAGAGGGTGAATAAATGATGGTATCCATCTACTGAGCAGTGATATTTGTGACAAGAGGAGCCTGCAATGAGCCCAAAGGATGTTGAAAGACAAAACCCACCCAGCCACAGCCTGTTCACCCTGCTGTCGCCTGGAAAGAGATACAGAAGTATCAGCTGTTGTACTACCAGACTTCAAAAACAGCTTCTTTCCTCTGGCTGTGAGACTCATTAACTCATCCACATATGATAACATTTTTTGTGCTCTTCTTTGTGTTCATTTGTAGCAAGGTGAGACTACAAACTGCATTTTGTTGCACAACCCTTTTGTACAATGACAATAAATGAACGTTGTAACCTCATAATTCCTTCGGTAAAGCCCCCAAATGAACTCAACTTCAACTCAAAACATTATTGTGTGAGTAAAACATTGAAATACCAAAAAGTGGAATTAGAAATCGTTGAATTGTTTTATTGTTTTATTGTCTTCTTTTTCTCAGGTCATTCTGTATTTCTTATAGTGGAAGTTGGCAAACCTACACAAACACATTTAGCAGGAACAAAAAGCCATCAGCAGTCGTTGTGTGGAAGAAGGAGAGGCAATCACTAATACTATCTTTGTGATCTAAACCTTTTCAGACCCCGTACTTCTGGCCTACACAGAAGTGGGTTGCAGAGGACTCTGACTATGGTGGGGTACAGTATGTCAATGGGGGGGGGGGGGGGGGGGGGGGGGGGTTTGATTAGAAAAAGAAAATTATGAGCTTCAGTGATATGATGAAACCTGTTGAGTCACATTGCTAAACTACTGGTATTGTTTTAGAAGCAAGCCTTTTTATTCCAATTCTTAAAATGACTCGACACATCTGGATGTGGAGCATGAAAGAGACGCCCTCCCTTCCTTCAGCTCAACTGACTACAAGCGAGGCGCTGAAATAAGAAGTCTAAACCTTTTAGATAACAAGTGTATTTTGACAGATCTAGGCTAGTTTCCTTTTATTTCTACATCCTATCTGTGTCCTAAAACAGATATCAGTCTTCTCTGATTATGGGTATGACATTGCAAACAAGCAGATTTACTCACTTTATACATTTTTACTTTTGTAACATGTGTGATTAGTAATGACTTTGCTTTTTTTCTGAATGTAGCCATTTACCTGGCAAAGAGGAACATCCGCAAGAAAGGCATGCTAGAACCCTACGAACAGGTTTGTGTTAGTCTCTAGTGATTGTGTCTGTCTGTCTGAGTGTGAGTGTTCCTTCTATATAAAGATAAAGGCTTCAAGCTTTACTGGCTGTGCTCAAGAGTTGATTTGTTTTCTACTGACACATATTGGCTCTGGATGCAGTGTGGCAACAAGCAGTCGGCCATTAAGCTTTACTTTCTCATTTTCTCTGTTCATGGTTTAACAACACAATTGTGAACTGTTCCAAAACGTCAGCAGTGAACTTTGAGGAAATGTGGGACTTTATGAGCATTATTGGATGGTAAAGCCACACCCGGGAGTGTTTCTTTATTTCGGGTATATTCTATAATATTTGCACAGAAGAGTTCATAATTTGTGTTTTATCCTCAGCTCAATGTAAATGTGGTCTTAAAAGAGGAAGTTGCAATTACAACTTGTCATAGAGAATGCGGAACAGACCAAATTTAAATTCTTATTTCCTTATTCCTTTATTTAATTTCTATTATTATTTTAATTATAATTCATTCATATTTGTCAATTGAAAAACATCTTATTGTCCCTATTAAATTACATCAAGGTGAATGACTCAATGTAGTTAAGTCCAGAGATTTAGAAGACCTTTTTTAGACTTGTTTCATATATACAGTATATACTGTATATAT